CTTACCGAAAATTGAGAAGAATATCATAAAGCCTGCAGATATTTGGACAACTCTCCTGCTACCAACTTTTGTAAGTGCCAGCAGACCCGCATTCTCGCTGCATTCATGTAAGAAAAAACCCACCACACCATTCAAGATCAACTCATGTCCTAGGTTTGGAAAAAGGAAGGAAATGAAGTCTTACACAGAAACTGAAGACCCTATGCCAGTTCCGAACAACCCTGAAATTAAAATTGCAACTCCCTAAACCAGAAGTTAGCATAGTTGAGGCACAACGGTAGATAAATGACAACTTCCTTGCCTAATGAAGACTTCATTGATGAAATTTGTAAATGAAGCTTATCAACCGAGTATTTACCTGCCAACCAACACCGCGGCTGATAACAGAAGGTGGCGGCATTGTGGCACTAGCATATCTTGAGACAGCAATAAAAGCGCCTGTAGACTGTTTTTGTTGATAAGCAGATTAAAGCCATGAGTAAACAAGACAAGATTAAACCAACGAGCAAGAAATCCCAAAGGAACGAAAAGATGAGTCTCATTGACTTTAAAACATAATGAGTATCCAACCAATAAAATTTAATTCATTGAAGGAACAAACATCATATATATATGGTATGAAAATTAATGCCTTAACCTAAGGATCTAAGTTTTCTATCTAGCATATCAATAATAACGGTGTAATGTAATAACACGAGGTGAAGAAGAGTAAAACAAACCTCAACAAGAGCAACAAAAGAAGCCATCATCATGGCAAAGGCTTCACCGGCATCAAACAATGGTGCTCCCCACTGGAACGGCCATGGAACTCGTATCCTGTACATTGAGTAAGCCTAAATGGTAAGCCACACTTGAGCATCACAATGAGTTTGTAATCCCCAAGAACTCGTTAAAGAAGGTGACTTTCTTGCTAGATATAACTCAGTGAGAAATCCAATGTCAATGCCATGTGTTGTCTTCTTACCATGGAGCAGCGCTTATGAGCCCCGCTCGATCAGTCCGGCAGCTTCTTTGAGTATTTGTCCCGACACCATTATAGGCACCACCGATTGTGAGAAAGAAAGCATAAAGCCATACTATCGCCACAGAAAATATGACAGCATAGCGAGCAAACACATGTTTTCCTCCCTTTACAACATGGGGAATGTACTGCAAAAAAATACCAGCAAAAAGTATGATCCAGACGATAAGAAGCATCAGACATACTGGAAAGAACACATCCAGATCAATAACTTGTGCAGTCAGAACAGATGAGCTTGCTACTAACAACGAATTTCTAGCTACAATTACCTGTGATATAATTATAAGAATAATAAGGCCCGGCAGTCCAATCTCGATACACTTAGCAACCTGTGGCCAAAATAACACAGAATCATGATTCCACGGGTTTAATGTTTTCAATTTTGTGTGCCCATTAAGAGAACAATATGACTTACACTGGGAAAACCTAACTCGTACAGGCCAAGACCAACTAATCCAACCAGAGGAGCAGCAGATAGAGGACTTAAGAACCTGGGAATAACAGAGGTTCAATAACATATTTGTAACCAACTGATTGGAGCAAGATTTGAGTCTAATGTTAGCTCAAAGACTGACCTTACAACATTACGCCAAAGGCCACTGAAGCCAAGGATCATTTGGAGAGTTGAAGCAACAATTAGAGCACCTTGGGTTGCCCGAATTATCCTCGTAAATCGCTGATAAGGAATCAAATAAGGAATATTATAGACTAAACTAATACTCAAGCTAGCCAAACGTTTATTGATAGTAACATTAGACGGAACACAGTTGAATAGGGAATAAGTGTGAGCTACGAACATCAACTGGATCTGCAACGTCGTTGAATCTCCGAGAAAGCATGATTGAGATTGTAACTGGGACAAATGTGTAAGATGCTCCAATAACAGCAGGCAATCTAGTTCCGAAAACTGTTTGGAGCAACGTGTTCAATCCAGCTACAAACAGTATTGTCTGGATCAGCTTCGCCTTCTCTTCCTGCCAGAATCACAAACTTAAGAGCAATAAGAGACTGAAAAAGGATCTTTGCACAAGCATTTGGTAGAAAAGAGCCCTTACTTACGTTTCTACCTCCCATTTGCGGAACAAGAGCTGATGGAATCAGAACTGTTGTTCCAAGCATGACAAGGTAGTGTTGAAACCCAAGCAGAACAGCCTCAGCTGAAAGATAAGAACAATCTCTCAGTCTCAGATAACAAAGCTTAAAACCTCATATTCAAACAAGGATTACTCAAAAACCATTTACCCAAATAGACCACACCACCTAACTATGAAGAAGTGAGCCCAGAAAACGATTACATAATAAACAAAACACGTTTTAACGGGTGATTAAGTTTATTCTCCGTATGTTAGTTAACAGAGAATGATCCATAAAACATTCTAAAGGTGATAAGAATACTTGTTAAAGGGAAAAGTAAGTAAGAATCTAATCCTCACGTTACAAGAAAAAGCGAAAAAGTAATGATACCGAAATCAGAGGAACCTAATCAGTGTCTAAGGCTCGAAAACTAGGGATATACGGAGAAGCAAAAAAGAGTTTAAGGAAAGGGAAAGAGAAACTGACGCCATGGAGGAGGGCTTGTGATGCAGTAGGAGATATCAGGAAGCTGTTCTTTTGGAGGATGTGGTTGCGGCTCAGACGCTTTCGGTGCCGGAGCTGACATCTTCGTTCTCTGCAACTAATAAAAACCAAAACTTTGATTAACCCTCCCAAACTGACTCAAACCCAAATCCTACAAGAAGGAAAAGTTGCCAAATTTGAGCTCAGGAAGGAGAACCCAAGTTCTGAGCTTTAACCCAACCCAGATCAGAAAGCCGAGTATAATAAAAAGAGAAGAGAAGATATTTTACAGAAAATTGG